CTGTCTTTCTGATCCTGTCTGCTTTGAAATCCTCGTCTGTGCCGCCTGTAGTTAAAACGATGCTGCCTAGGTAGGTGTAGGTGAAAGAGGCTACTTCCTTTAAGTTTCTCCCGTTCATGGTGATTGGTGCTTGTTGTTTTCGGTGGCGTTGGTTGGGTATCATCATCACCTATGTCTTGTCTACATTCACTTGAACAGTGTCTCGTTTTCGCTGCCTCTTCTGTCAACTTGTTAGTTTTCGCCTGTAGATCTTCAAGTTTGTGTGACACTAGACACAAGTCATCGTTGGCGAAATCTAAATCTTCTAGGTTCTTCTCCCCGGTCCAGCTAGCGTATCTCCCTCTTCTCGCTCTCCAATGTTTGCTGCATGATCCAGTCAACCACAATCAGGAATATCATGGGTGACAGTAGGTAGCAGTCCTGTCTTCATTCCACTTCAAAGCCATCACTGAGCTTCCCATTGTGAATTACTTGGGATGAGGCGTCTTCATATAGTTATTGAATGAGATTGATAAAGGTTTGTGGTATTCCGTAGTGTTGAAGCACCTGTCTGCCAAATTATTTGTCGGTTGACGCTGTCAAAGGGCTTCTCAGAGTCGATGAAGTTGAGGTAGAGAGTTGACTGCCATTCTATACTCTGTTCTATGATGATGCGTAGCTTAGCGTTGCAATTTGGTCCGCACATGATTTGTACTTCCTGAAGCCAGTGCATACTATTTAGGATTAGCAATAACTATTGTATGTATCAGCTAAGAAAAAGCATTTCTTTTCACCGACTTCATTATCAAACTCGGTAAAGTGACAGGTAATTGCACTGAGCAACTTTTTAGTGGAATTATCTGTCATTTTATCGAGTATAAATATGACTGTATAGATTGATAATAAAGTCATTGAAAAGAAATGCTTCTTCTTAGCTGATACATATCTTGTTCTTATTCATGATTAAGTGGGTATATTTCGTCATTAACTATTGCAATGCAAAGAAGGGTATCCAGTTTTACTTCTAGAGAGTTCATTTCTCAATTCACAACGGAAATATGATACGTCTAAGTAAATAAAAACAACGTAGCTGATGCCTTATCATGACTGCACTTGAATAGTATTAGAAATGTGAAGCTTAACTCTACTAAAAAATGGCAAAAGTTTAATAAGGGGATGCAGATAGAATTACATAAGTTTCTATGACTGCAGTCTTCTAGTCATCTTGGTGACTATCAGAAGAATCCAGTCTGCGCGTTTCTTCCTGCTTGGAACTCGTTAGCTGGATGTACCTGCAGTTCAGTAAGTGTTGTTACTAGAGACTGGAACCCAGTACCCATCGACCCAAACATTGAATCGTCATCCAATAAGCCCACTGGGGCACGATGGCCACCTCTTGTACAACGGGTATCAGTTGTTGTTCTGATACTTGTAATTTCCCGTTGCTGCACTGAATCGATCTCCATTGGCAGATAAGCTAGTATTCATCGCTTTATATTCAGCTTGGTGATTGACAAGAGAATCCAGGATGTACGTCTCGTCCCATTTGGGACTCGTCAGCTGGATATGCTTGCATCTTCTATTGTTTACGTTCTCTGATCCCGGTAGGTCAGCAACGTTTGGAGCGTTAAGCTAAAATGAGGGTATTTGAGTCTACAGATTCACACTTGGAGTTACAGAGGCCTAGGCTACATAATGTCTGTGATGACCCCCACTAACTCACGATTCCAGAGCAATATGGTGTTTATAGCACTACAATTTCCATGTCTCCAACATCGGGACAATATTTTCTAATTCCCTATCCAAGTTCAGCTTTAGACTTGCAATTATCAACTATCTCTGGTTATTGCATCAAAGTGTACTTGACTTCGCCGTGAGTATTTGATCAATAAACTGTCACAAATTAAGCGTAACTAGGCAATTTAGTTATCATTACTATGGCACCTGACGCTACTGCACAACCATCAGGATTGTCTCATTTCAGTAAATCAAGGTAGAGACCTACTAAGATGTCAGGAAAAAGAAATGAAAATCGCATCAGTGAAAATGGTAGGATTAAATCGAATACAGAAATGTGCTATAACGGCTTTCCAACATCTTTTCGTTACCTTCAGCTTTGTGTGCCCATATGAGACGGAACCGCCTACACCGTTTACAATAGGTCCTAAGTTGATAAAGTCCCATATATCGGGTAGTTATTCGTGACAGTTCTTTGGTCACTGTTGGATGACTAATTTCATACTTTTAAAATGTTCAGAGTTGAGAAAGTCTAATAATTAAACGAATGGTAATAAAAGACACAACTACTATTGAACAACTTGAGGAGTAAGAAACCATTCAGGCTGGTCTGTAGATTGTCAGCCAACCAGATCAAAGTGACCTAAACAACAGGCGATTGTTTGTCAGTTATCGGCCAAGCCTCTTTGCTCATCAGCGGTGTAATGAGGTAATTTAAGTCCACAGAACCGAATTAGTTCAGATCGCCTGAACGATTTCTAATAGCTTACACAACACAGTGATAATATCTGACCGATATGGGGACAGAGAGAAAAAAGAGCAGTCTGGAGAGGCACCAATCAAAATGCACTTTATGCTATCACGCCAGCAGTTAGATAGACAGTGGATCAGCCAATCAACGAACTATTTATATATTAGCTATATCTTCCTTCGGTCTTTCGACCCCAATACACGTCCATTGTCTATTCTCTATTAATTAGTTGGGTTGGGAACCACCTAGGAATTTTTTGAATGTTGGTGACTGACATTGGATATCCGTGCATCGTTAGCTGCCATATGATGGCAGTTTCCAAGCCATAACAGATGGTGATGGAAATGGGATATTAGGAAGTGGACTCTTAGAAGTTGGACAATTTCCTCGAACAACAAATAGGGATTATCAAGATACTAAGGCAATCCAAAATTTCTGGTACCGAACCATCGCCTACTACGCCAGTTTTAATAGCTACGATTGTGATACCAATGCGACTTTTGGTGCAGGCGTTACGAAAACTAATTCAATGTGGATTTTGCTAGCCAAGATAATTGCTGAAAGGTACGTCTCCTACTTCGAAAGCTTGATCTACCTAAGCCCGACCAGTACTGTGAAATGATTTCGCTGCAGAACCCACGTGATCGCACTTTTGACGCCACAGTCCAGATACTGAATGGTATGTCTGCAAAATATCAACGACTGGGTAACTTGCAGCGTGATACGAGTTTAGCCCAATCCGGACGCCAGGGTGGTTCTGAAGTACATACAGTCCGTCAGACATCTCATTCCTTGGCATCACCCTCTGGTCTTATCTCGCCTGTTCATCTCCCAGTAACTTATTCAATAGCAACCGACCTTCGAAGAAAACACCCCTCCTCGCCTTGCTGGCATCCCGTCAAATGTCCACATAAACAACATCGATGCCTCGACTGTAATGCTGCGGGCGATAAGGACGGCTTTTGCCGCCAACACACACAACGATGTATAAAAAGGTAATCCTTTAGATACCGCCACAGATCTCAATGTTGATCGGAAGGTAAATCTCTTGGCTTGATAGCTGATTTTCCTGCTCATGTACCTGCCTGCCGAAAGAATATCGATTCCCCAGTAAACAAGTTGAAACTTCCTCTGCATCGGTCAGACAGATGAAATAAAAAGACAGTGCGGCCCAGTCTAACCCTAAATAAAATTCTTTTGAGAAAGGAGGTGATATGGTGATAGAGAGAAATGATGAGTCTGGGAAGAGACCAATTAAAATGTACCTTGTGCTATCAGTTCTATAGTTAGACAGACAGATAGATGGTGGATCAACCAATCAATAGGAATATTCCAAACGGGGAACTATCTCTATATATTAGCTCTATTTCCCTAAGATTTCAGATCTTCAGTCTTTCGACCCCAAATCCACGTCACTACGTCAATCGTATCTTCTCTATTATTTAGTCAAGTCGGAGAATCAACTAGGAATTTGTTGGGTGTTGGTGACTGACACTGGATATTCATGCATCCTTAACGGCCATAGCAGTCTTCAAAATCATAACACTGCCAGACAGACTTGCAAATCGTTGAAGTACAGAAACCATCAAGTGTAACTTGAAAACTTATCGTTGCACGACGTTAAGACTCAACTAGCATTCTAAGAAATGAGAAGAAGACATATAACTCAGGGTACAGGGCGATGAGCTACATTTATTATGTAACAGCTGATAGTAACATAGACTAATGAATCATCAGTCCAAATTACATCTATGTGTTAGAAATTATTATTATCCTCACTTCCTAGAAAGTTATACTGATGGCTATGACTAGAGCATCATGGAAATATGTCACTTTTTTAGAACAATTTTCAACATAATGTCCACAAATAAGTGACTCCAACCCAATGGCTCAGTAGTAACACGCTAGACAAGGAAAATGAAGTTTCTGGGTTCGATCTCTGCATACCCAATGCTTGGAAGTCCCATATATTACGATGAGACAGATCTATCAATGATTACTTCAACCGATATTAGTTCAGTATTTGTCCTCACGGCCATCAGGCTTTCACTCCACCGGTCACGACTTGTCATTGGAACTTCGGGAATACTTCTCGAAGCTAGTCACCAACGAGCACTAGTTCAATTAAATTTTGAGGGGGTTGTGGAGATTTGGAAATATTTCAAATTGTTATTCATCGAAGACTGACGTCAGTTGGAGAAACAAAGGAAACCTGGGAGCACTGGACAGCTGTTTCGTCTTAGTATGGGACTCCTCAGCAGTGCGCACCCACAACCCCACCAGCAGGGATCGAACCCGCGACCTTCAGGTTCCGCAGCCAGCGCGTTACCATTGAGCCACTGGGTCAGAATCCAATGCTCCATACTTCCAACTTCTGTTAGCTCTCCACAACCCACTCAAAAAAATTTAATTGAACTGGTGCTCATTGGTGACTAGCTTCGAGAAGTATTCCCGATATTAGTTCATCATAAATACCAACTTGAAAACAATAAATTCAGTCCATACAAACTTTTAAAAAACAGTAAACAACAATAAAAGAGAAAGACATTTTATCATTTTGTTTATTTCTCTACATAAAAACAAAAACCGGAAGTATAGAACAAGATAGACATTGAAATAATACTCAGTTTATTGTTATATCCAAGTTCAAGGCACCAGTTGGTAGTGATGTATACAAAATGGATAAGATGGTGACATGAAAACCTACCAACCCATCAACTTTATCATTCGTAGAAAATAATAATTGATAATCATATTTTCAAAAAGGCAGCCAGAAATAAAGGATCAGTGTGTGTGTGTGTGTGTGTGTGTGTGTGTGTGTGTGTGTAGCTGGTATCCTACATGTTGGCGTTTAAGCTTAAGCTGGTAGTCTATATATATAAATATCACAATCCATCAAGAGATTAAGTAGAATTATACTCAGAAAATTACACATTTCACACACGCTATTTGTATGTAATAATGTCAGTTTAACATCAGTCAGTCTGTGTAGAGTTTACATAGGAACATGCCGGATACTGGCAGCCATGTGTGTATATAGAGGGCAACAGCGAAAAGGATGGGTAGGAGGGAAAAAAAAAAGTAGAACAAAACATTTCCCCCCCCCCTCCATAAGAAAGATTGCACTCTTAACAATGTTCACCTGAACTAAAAGATGGTAACAGGGAGGAGGGAAGGGCGGGGATATACACTAATGCCAATAGACATAAATCACAACAATATACAATAAATATAAAACGAGATGTTATAAGAAGAGAAATTCAACAAAACAAAAATATATTAATACAAATCTTCAAGATTTACTGGAGGTGGTCCAGCACGTTTAGTATATCGACGATAGCGTTTCGCATCAGTGTCTTCAGCTGCACGTATACGATTAGCTTCTTCTTGTTCAGCAAGAAATTTCTGAAAGTTATCAAAATAAGTCCCTATATAGATTTTATTTCGGGGGATGATAATAGTATGATAAACACTCAATTGATCACTAAGTTATGTTACTCACAGACTATGTTTGCATTGAAGCCTTGATATCGACGTAGATTAAACATGACATTAACATCCGTTATGGTATATGTATATCTAGTTGATGAGTTCTGAAGCAGGACGAAACTCATCTCGTACAATTTACTACGTCCCACTACTAGCAGGATGAAATAAATGGCATTGATAGGTAGAAGCAGTAACCAGTCACTGCTTAGATTTATGTCTAATGTCTTGTTGCAAAAACTCGAAGATCTACACGCGAAAACTAACAAGTTAGCAGAAGAGGTGAGGCAAAGCACCGAAGACAGGTCTTCCTTCAGGTGAACGTACAGAAGACATAGGTGATGAAGACACCCAACCACCACCACCAACAACAACAACAAGAGGTACCGATCAGCATCAACGGGAGAAACCTAAAGGAAAGCGTCACTTTCACCTACCTACCTAGGCAGAATCCTCTCAACTATGCGCGGCACAGATGAAAATGTCAAAGTCACGATCGGAAAGACAGGTCTTCATTATTCTGAAATCAGTCTGGAGATCTACTCCACTCCACTGCACTCCATTCAGCATGAAGCGTGAAAAACATCCGGATTCTCAACACTAATGTCAGTTAAGTCACTGCTTCTGTATGATAGTTCACAGATTTGGTGCCTTATGAAAAACATTTCCAACAGACTGCAGATATACATCGACAGATGCCGCCTACGCTCACTCACGCGCTGGATACTTAAGATCACATGAAATGGCCAGAAAGAATCAGCAACAACCAACTCACTATATCGGTCAATAAATGTCCAGAAGAAAGTGCGGATAGATTGGATTAGACATACACTGAGAAGACCATTCGAGAACATCACGCGACAAACCAGACCGTCGAGTGGAATCCAAATGAGAAACGATGAGTTGGGCGTGTGAGGAAGAAATGAAAGCTTTTGGAAAGTCATGGTCATCATCATTATCAACATAGGACCAGGCATTACTGCGTAACGGTCCGAGTTGCCACACCTCACGTCAGTTCATCCACCAGAAAGGTAGTGAGGTGAAGGATGAAGATAAGTGAATGAAGTCAAAAAAAATATAAAGTACGAGAAGAAAGAAAGGAGGAATGACAAAATGGTGCGATTCGGTATAGCGTTGTTAAGATGAGGATAATGTGTGTATACATCTGCGCCACTGACTTCGGTTCTCACCCATATCACCTTGAGTCAATCTTCAACCACTGGTTCATCTTGTCCCGCAGACCCCAACCACCTAGTCTGCATCGTCCTACATGGCTCAAACCAACAGTCAGAGACTTCATACATTGTTGCCATGTTTTAGTCTGGCCACCTCCAGCCTTTTTCCAGCCTGGACCCACCTCAGCCAACATTGTGTGACGAGGCAATCGGTGACTAGGCATACGTAGTACGTGTCCCAACCATTTCAGTCGATCAAGGTTCACAACGTCGTCGACTGACTTACCTCTTCTCCCTAAAACTCTACACCTAACTTCTGCATTACTCACATGGTGACACCACGGAATACGTCCTATACTACGAAGGCAGGCAACGGTGGTCAAACACCTGAAGCGTTTTTGTATCCTCCACTTTCAATGGCCATGTTTCACAGCCATACAGTAGAACAGAGCGGACTGCTGTGCAGTACACGCGACCCTTAATAGACGATTCGATATCACGGTGGCGCCATAGGTGGCGTAAATTGGCAAAAGCCAATCGAGCTTTTTGTATCCGTGCCGAAATCTCATCGGTAACTAACCCACCGAGGTTGATCCTACTTCCCAGGTAAGTGAAGTGGTCACCACACTCAACCACTTCACTCTCTATTGTTGACCGCGGTACCGCTGAAGACCAGTCGTGGAGCAAAAATTTGCATTTCAGTGGTGAAAATCGCATCCCAAACATTTTCAAATTCCCACTCAAAATGTTCAGAAGACTCTGCATCTTGTCAGCATCTTCACCTAACAGGACTATGTCATCTGCATATTCTAGATCTAAAGAAAATTCACCTGTGATCGGGTCAACGTCTGTGTAATCAGGTGACGAGAGGGAAACCTCCATAAGAATATCTATGATAAAATTAAATAAGAATGGGGATAGTGGGCATCCTTGACGGACACCACTTGATGAGTATAGCTCCCTGGACAACTCGCCATAGACAGTCATGGAGCCAGATTAAGAAGACTGCAGGGAACAGAGTGGAAATGGAGACGTGCTACTGAAGCCCTATGTTCCACTAGGAACCGAAGAGACAAATAATAAATATAATAATAATAGACAGTTTGCTTATCATGAACTTTAGGCAATATTGAAGAAAACGAGTAACTCTAAAGTGTACTCTAACAGCTACTAAAATAACCAACCAGATTTCTCAACTCCATGGAAAACTAGCTTTCTAGCCAAAATTTAGAGACAGGATCGGTGATTTGAATGGTTGTTAGAGTGACCTTGAGAGTCACTCAAAAAAGCTGTGATGAATTATGACTGTCTAGACAGTCACGTGACGCAATGTATGCGTTTATTGTGGTTAAGTCATATCCAATACTATTTTTACTGGCTGTTTGCTTTCTCTGACCTTGATAAATACCATAATCCTATTGGTCAGCATAGAGAAGACAGAGGTGATGAAGATACCGCACCAACAACTCCAACAACAAACTCCAATCACCGTCAACGGGAGAAACTTAAAGGAAGTAAGCTCCTTCACCTATCTAGGAAGCACTGTTTCAACTACAGGCGACACAGGCGCAGACGAGGATGTCAAAGTCAGAATCGGTAAGAGAGCAAGACAGGCGTTGATTTGCCTGAAACCAGTGTGGAGATCTTTTACACTCAGCATGCATCGTGAACAAGATCGGGATTTTCAACACCAACGTCAAGTCAGTGCTTCTATATAGTTCAGAGACTTGGCGGGTTACGAAAGGGATTTCCAATAAACTACAGACATTCATCAACAACTGCCACCTACGCTGGCTCGCTACTGAAGATCAGTTGGATTGCCAGAAAGAATAAGCAACAAGGAGCTCTGGGAACGAACTAACCAAGAACCTATCACGCAACAAATATGCACTGTAAGGAAGTGGAGATGGATTGGGCATGTACTGAGAAGGCCGACTGGGGACATCACGTGTCAGGCCAGTCACTCGAGTGGAATCCCCAGGGGAAGCGACGAGTTGGACGTCCGAGGGTGACATGGAGGAGGTCGTGTGAGGAGGAAATGAGAGCTTTTGGGCTGTCGTGGAACCAGATTCAAAAGATCTCAGAGAAGAGAGTGGAATGGAGACGTGCTACTGAAGCCCTATGTTCCACTAGGAACCCAAGGACTAATAATAAAATAATATATTGGTCATCATGTCTATGCCGCTGTTAGCATACATACAGCTATTTAATACCGTATGGCTTGAACTGTCTGGTGAAATGTCCAGGGAACTACTGGTTGTATGATCTGATTACTGGGATGAGTGAAATATACGCGTTATAAATACATCTATCATTATTCTCCCTGCATCAGCCTAGAGTACTAGCTCTAAGGGATACAAAGTGCGGACTAACTAGCTGAGGAATGAGCACAAAAGTATGTAGCACTATCATTCAAAGAAGAATCTATGTACTATTCATCCCACACATAGATTAAACAGCTTATTCATGATGCTTTCAAATACAATATCTACCTGAATATCACGAGTGATAGTATGAAGTTTTTTCTGTCAACTACTTCAAAGATCAGAAAACAAAACGAGGAAATATACCTTATAATTTTCTTTGATCCAAAGTCCTTTTGATAAAAATTTCGCTTGTTGTTCAGCTCCCAAATAATCCCATTCACTTTCATTCATTTTTAAACGACGTCGAGTAATGAAAATCTGTGCTTCTTCATTATATGACCGACGTAGTATCCAATAATTAATCACCCAACAGAATATCCATCGTAGCCATATAAAACAAGTCCATGGAAAGAATAGTATTCTAACTAGAAGGACACGTTTGAGACTAGGTCGACAACAATCACCTCTAAAATGAAAAAGCAAACAAACAACAAAAGTCACTCTTAAGGTAGTTTCGTAGTGTGAACGGTTGATACTTATAAAACAAATTGCCATGCTTCAAAGAAGTATACAGAGAACAGCTGGATAGAAAAAGACTGATATCAATGTAGACAAACTTGTGTGAGAGGAAAAAACAATCCGAAGATAACGGTTAATGAGAATATTCAAGTTTTAGAAGACACTAATGAGTGAATACATCAACCATCTTACCAACAATCCTTAACCATTGGTTCCTATCGTTGCGGAGACTCTGGCCCAGAAGTTTACATTGCCCAACACACCTCAGACGAACAGTTTAGAGATTTCATGCACTGGTGCCACGTCTTAGTCTGGACACCCTGAACCTTCTGCTAACATTCCAGGTCAAGGTGGGCGGTGGTTCAGCTTATGCAACACACGTTGAAGTCAACTCAGTCGCTGAACGTTCAAAACCTCATCCACCGACTTGCCTGTCTTGCCTATTACCCTTCGGCTAACCTCGATATTGCTAACATCATGCATACACCAGCAATGCTAGGAAGATATCTATGGTTAAAGGCCTATAACCACTTCATTTCTTCTGCCTTCAACCGCCATGTCTCACAAGCGTACAACAGGACAAAATGGACTGCAGCGCAGTATGCTCTTCGTTTAGTAGATAGTCCGATATCTCACCAATCAGCTCAACAGATGAAACAAGTTGGCAAATGTCGAACGAGTCTTCTGTATCCGATCTAAAACCAAAGGGGAGAATCGATTGATTCATTAATCGACCTATGAAGCAAACTATTGACCCACTAAAGAATCGATAAAAAGACCCCCGAAGAAGATTTGGATTTCGCCAACGATGATAATTTATGTCTAATGTCTTGTCGCAAAAACTCGACGATCTACACGCGAAAACTAACAACTGCACAGAAGAGGTGAGGCAGCGATAACGGGACTTCCTTCGGGTGAACGTACAGAAGACACAGGTGATGAAGATACCCAACCAACAATAACCAGAGGTACCAGTCAGCGGGAGAAATCTAAAGGAAATCTTCTTTTCACCTATCTACCTAGGCAACATTGTTTCAACTATAGGTGGCGGCACACATGAGAATGTCAAAGTCACGATTGGAAAGATAGCAAGACAGGCCTTCATTAATCTAAGATAAGTGTGGAGATCTACTGTACTCAGCATAAAGCGTGAACAACATCCTCATTTTTAACACCAATGTCAAGTCAGTGCTTCTATGTGATGGTTGAGAGACTTGGCGTATTACGAAAAGCATTTCAAACAAACTACAGACATTCATCAACAGCTGCCCAACAATCTCGACTTTTACATTGTTACTAACGACGGGTTGTCAAAACGCTTAGTGAGATAACCAGCAATTTTTAAACGGATAACTCAATAAATATCAGTAATCAATCAAGATCAATATAGGACTAGGCATCACTGCGTAACAGTCCAGGTTGCCATATCTCATATCAACACAACTAGTAAGATGAAAGATCAAGAAAGAGAGAAAAATCTGTCAAAAGCAATAAAGGACAGCAAAAAGACAGTTTAACAATCAAGATGAAGGTAGATTGCGGATAAATCTGCGTTAATGACATCTATTCTGAGTTATATCACTGCCTAGAATCTTCAACCACTGGTTTCTATTGTCAAATCGACTTCAATCAGCTGATTTGCATGTCTCTATATGACTTAAACCAGCCAGCTTGAACATACTTCAGACAACATTATGAAACAAGGCAGATAGTAGCTAGACATCCGTAACATATTGTCGCAGGTATGCCAGTCGATCAAAGTTTACGCCCTTAGCAACTGACGAGTACTTAGTCATAATAAAGGTCAAGGTGCTTATCCACCTAGTCACCAACTGTTACTTTGTATCATACATAGATACATGGGCTATATGGATTGAATCCTCAAAATGTCATAAATCAATTGTTGAAGATCTAAGCATTATTAATAACCTTTTAAGCATTGCTATTCTTCTGTTAACTTGCTCATTGTCTGTTTGTCAACTATGTCTATATCTGAACTGATGTACTTCTATATATTCTTCTCTCTCTCTCTCTCACTGATATGGTGATTGTTGAGAGATTCAACTTTATCGCAAGGGCTGGTTGCTAGATTGTTGTTTTCCATAGGATCTTGAAGAAAATAAATTTTACCTTTTAACAACGTCAACCTCGAATAAACTTCAAGAACCACCTCATATACTTTAGTGTATAAGTCGATACTTTGTTTCGACAACCTCAGAGGTTGGCCTAGTTGACCTCCAACATCTGATCACGATTTTGTACAGTGTTAGATTCTTACTGACTGGTGGTTTGAGCCATGTGGGACGGTGCAGACTACTGGGTGGTTGGGGTCCGCAGGACAAAATGAACCAGTGGTTGGAGACTCTAGGGGATATGGGTGAGAACCGATGTCAGTGGCGCAGATGTGTAAATACACACATTATCCTCATCTTAACAACACTATACCGAATCTCACCATTTTCTCATTCCTCCTTTCTTTCTTCTCATACTTTATATTTCTTTTGACTTCATTCTCTTATCTTCATCCTTCACCTCACTACCTTTCTACTTGATGTGCTGATATGAGCCGTGACAAGTTGGAGGGTTACGCAGTAATGCCTGGTCCTATGTTGATATTGATTGATTGAGAAACACCTGATATTTTTTCTTAAAGACATTCACAATGGGTATGAGTCGTTACAGTAGTAAACGAGTGTTAAATTATTATCATTTTCACTATCTGAGATAGCAGCCATGGTTTTGCAGACTAGTATTGATACTAGGTAATGATTGAAGGTAAATTGAAAATTTGGACTGCGGCCGGATTCGAACCAGTGATCAATGGGTTCCCAGCCCGATGATCTACCATCTGAGCTACGAGGTCCGACTGCTGACACATAGTGACTGGAGTGAAATAAAAACCTGGTCAGCATTCGGACTTCGTGGCTCAGTTCGTAGAGCATCGGACCGGAAACCTGATGGTCGCTGGTTCAAATTTCCACTTCACCTTCAATCATCACCCCAGTATAAACTAATTAATTGACACAATCAAAATTATTGATATTGGGGTGATGATTGAAGGTGAAATAAAAATCTCGGTAACGGCAGGATTTCAACCAATAATCTTCGGATTACCGACCGACCCAATGAATGAAACTAGTTGAGATGGCCAGTCAAAAACCATATAAACAATCAGTAGATAAATACAACACAGAAGTTCATACAAGTACTTAATAGAGAGAGAACATTATAGGCCCTCCTTCAGGTCAGTGTTGATGGAATAATGTTGTGTCCTTCATCGACGCGATGCTTTATCCAGTATCTAAGCCACGACACCTAGCCGCTGATCAAATATTCCCATCAAAGTGCAGCGCGCAATGATGAGCCTGCTACCCCTAGGTGGTCACATTGCAAAAATAATCAAGAGAATATGGTTGTTCTCCAGTAACTAACCAATGCATTCAACCTAGTCCTAAATGGGGCAAATCACGGTCCGAATAGCTCAGAGGTGAGGTCGCTGACTGCAGTCCTGCGTGAAACGGATTCGAACCCCAGGGGGACGGGGATACTAGTTCTTTCCAGGTTGGAGATAGACCTTGTAGACGAGCCTCAGCAAGTACGACATTTTTTGTAATTGTCACCAGCGACTTTAGATCACATTTCTTTACACGGTCGACAAACGAGCAGTCAGAGACTTCACAGACTGATCCCACACTATAGCTGATAACCTTTGACCTTTTCCCAGCCTAGACCTACTTCAGGCAACACAGATCATGGATGCAGACAAAACCGGTAATAATAAATCTCTAATTTCCCTATGTCTTCTACGTTTTTCAAGGACCATATCTCAACGCATTACAATATGACAAAGTGGAGTGTTGTGTAGTATATTGATCCATTGATTTACAACCGAATGACCACATCGATACCAAAGGTGAAATAAGTTACCAAATGTCGAATGGGTCCTGCATATCTAACATAATTCATGGAACTTCCCATATTATGAAGTGGCCAACACGTAATTGGCTATTTCACCTTCTGCTTTGAAACCAGAAGTCAGACAAGTAGAAAAACCAACGTAGAACCTTGAACACACAACTACCTCAGTTCAAGTTATCATACTTCATAGTAGTGCACAAAGAAAAGGTAGATACAAAACAACTATTTAGATGTCAAAGAGTGGATACATCTACGTCAATGCGACTGATTTTTTTCACTTATTTCACCAAGACTCCCTAACCACTGATTCTTATATAATACGTAGCGCCAAAAAGCAGCCAATAGACAAATTGTTTTAAGGTCATGATCAGATAATGATTAATGCATGTACTGATATGATTATCTGATTGGACAAATTCGAAGTCATACAACAAATTGGATTGGTTCATTTATGGCTTCATTTTATGAGGGTTTCGTAAATATATATATATATATACATATTATTATTTATTATTATTATTATTAGTCCCTTGGGTTCCTAGTGGAACATAGGGCTTCAGTAGCACGCCTCCAGTGACCTCTGTTCTCTGAGATTTTTTGAACCTGGCTCCACGACAGCCCAGAAGCTCTCATTTCCTCCTCGCACACACCATCTCCTCCATGTCACCCTCACCTCCAACGCCAAACTCGTCGCTTCCCATGGGGATTCCACTCTACGGCCTGACGCGTGATGTCCCCACTCGGCCTTCTCAGTGCATGCCCAATCCATCTCCACTTCCTCCCAGTGCATATTTGTTGCGTGATAGGTTCTTGGTTGGTTCGTTCCCAGAGCACCTTGTTGCTTATTCTTTCTCGCCATCTGATCTTCAGTAACGAGCCAGCGTAGGTGGCAGTTGTTGATGAATCTCTGTAGTTTATTGGAAATCCCTTTCGTAACCCGCCAAGTCTCTGAACTATATAGAAGCACTGACTTGACGTTGGTGTTGAAAATCCCGATCTTGTTCACGATGTATGCTGAGTGTAGAAGATCTCCACACTGGTTTCAGGCAAATCAACGCCTGTCTTGCTCTCTTACCGATTCTGACTTTGACATCCTCGTCTGTGCCTGTGTCGCCTGTAGTTGAAACAATGCTTCCTAGATAGGTGAAAGAGCTTACTTCCTTTAAGTTTCTCCTGTTGATGGTGATGGGAGTTTGTTGTTGTTGTTGGAGTTGTTGGTGCGGTATCTTCATCACCTCTGTCTTCTCTATATTCACTTGAAGTCCCGTCTTCGCTGCCCTGCCTCTTCTGCCAACTTGTTAGTTTTTGCCTTTAGATCTTCAAGTTTATGTGACATCAGGCACAAGTCATCGTTGGCGAAATCCAAATCTTCTAGGTTCTTTTCCGCAGTCCAGGCAGCATATCCCCCTCTTCTCACAGCTCCCCACTGTTTGCTGCATGATCCAGTCCACCACAATCAGGAATATCATGGGGGATAGTAGGCAACCTTGTTTCACTCCTGTCTTCACTTCACCTCAAAAGCATCACTGAGCTTCCCATTGTGAATTACTTGGCCGGTATGTGGCATCTTCATATAGTTGTTGAATGAGGCGGATAAAGGTTTGCGGTACTCCGTAGTAATGAAGCAGTTTCCAAAGTACTTCTCGGTCGACGCTGTCAAAAGCCCTCTCAAAGTCGATAAAGTTTAGGTAGAGAGCTGATTGCCATTCTATGCTCTGTTCTATGATGATGCGAAGCGTTGCAATTTGGTTTGCACATGATTTGTACTTTCTGAAGCCTGCCTGTTCCGGTCGTAGTTTTGAATCCAGTGCATCTTTGAGCCTCTCCAGGATGATGCATATATATATATATATATATATATATATATATATATATATATATATAACCGTGTATTTGCCGAATAAAGTTTGTCGTTGTTGTTCTTGCGGTCACAGGCTATATTTTTCCTTCTGATTTTTGCGGTTTAGCGAAGTATTGGGTGTGGAGGAGAACAGTCGTATTACTTGTATCCAGTTCAAGTACCTCATTCGCTTATTATTAGAACTCACATTACATCCACCAACCCACAGTCACATCATTATAGTCTTGGGAATCCCAGCCAGATAGTCTACATCTCCCTATCTGGCTCCAGCCAACAGTCGAAGACTTCATGTAAAAAACTAGAAGTCAGTATTATCTTACAGGGAGTCAAACAGAGTAAGATACGGTTGAATCGTCCTTATCTTAAGCATTCTGAATATTAGTTGGTTGGAGGCAATCGGCAGGAAGCCCTGGGTTTCGTGCTTTTTGGCACTCGTCAGCAAGGCGTATCTGCAACCTCGACGGGACTGATGTCCCGCCTGAGATTCGAATATGAAACTGGTTGCACTCCTGTGACCAATCAATACATGTAAACCAGTCCTACAGGAGGTCAATCGCGGCCCGAATAGCTCAGTGGTAAAGTCACTGACTACAACACTTAGTGACGCGGGTTCGAATATCAGGCAGGACATAAGTTCCGTCGAGGTTGCAGATACGCCTTGCTGATGGGTGTTAGAAAGCACGAAACCTAGGTCAAGGGCTTCCTGCCAATTATCTTCAACCAACTAACATTTACTAATATGTACAGCGATGCTGAGCTTTCTAGCTTGGTTGTCACAGTGTAAATATGATCGATAGAATTCGGTCTGCACTCAGCACTAGACAACATGAAATTGGTTGCTCTCCTGTGACCGATTAATACATTCTGAATATTACCAAACATGAAAGCAACTGAATGAATCTGATTGAAATAACAGTCATCAATAGGAACGATGTTAACAACAACAATAATAATAATAAAACGGACTATTTTTTCTTATTTACCGGAGTTCAACAGTTTCTTTTAATATACGCTTAAGTAATTCTTCTTCACGTTCTTTTAATTCATCACGAGTTAAACGTTTTCCAACTTGATATTTTGATTTATTCAATAAACCTTCAGCATTGGCTAGTTGTTTCGCTTTAGCACGATGTTTTGGATCTTTAAGTAAATAACTTAATGCATGATTATAACTTGTCCATTGACCAGCGTACTGAAAGAGATGAAACATACATACACATACGAACTTATAAAGCACATCATGGAAATAGGTATTCCAGGTACTCCCAAGTAAAAGAACTACTTCTGAATGAATAATTCCTTTTCAACAATGAACTCTACAGATAGTTTGATGGTGTAACTATGGGGTCACCCTCTTGACAGATAATGGTCCACTGAACGAAACTACTAGCGGGTTAGAATTATACTGTTGTTACATGGATAATATCTTCATAGTTTTCAACAGTGAGATTGATGTTCTGAATAAGTTTAATAGTGTTCATCATCTGACAATCAATCTCACAATGAAAGACGAGAGAAATGACAGTATCCCATTTCTTGATGTTCTTTCTATTGGTAAGAAGGTTAGATGGAACTTTGAAGAAAAAAAAGCGTTTGTAGAAAACTAACATTGGCAGGTACCATACCCCCCCCTTCCCAAGTACAAAAGGAAACTGATGAAATGGTTAGTAGACCACGCCACAGCTATTTGCTCAGATGATGCTATAGAGGAAGAGTTCGCCACCATCTGTGATCTGCTTAGTAAGAATAGCTATCCAGCCAGTTTGTAACTAAGCATATGAATATTACGAGGGTTAAGACAAGAACCCCAACAGAAGCGAATTCTCCTGAAAGTGAAATTACCAGTGAAATCATCAAACAACGCGTAAAAAATGCCCTTCAAAAAAGCATTCCCAGTCGCTAAATTATATCCCATCTTTTACAACCGCGTAATTTTAGGCGCAAAAAATAAAGATAAACTGTCTGATTCTACCACTTTCATGTGTATTTATCTATTCAATTGTTTTTGTGGAGCTATTTACGTTGCGCATACAATGAGGCAGTTCTATCATCGAATTTCTCAGCACCACCCAGCATAGTTGAGTAAGGGAAAAATTAGGACAATAAAAACCTCCATACTTGCACACCTAGTTGACATAGGACATCAACTAGATACTAGAAAAGCTTTCAAAATCATTTATCACATTCCAATTAATTTACCATATGGATTACGCACTCACTTACTTCACATAGCAGAGACGATTCCAATCCACCTTTACAAACTTAACCATTGTATTCAAAAGTTTAAGCGACCACTTTCATTACCGTGGCCGTCAACATGATGTAACTTCTAGTAGTACTTTGTACACCTATTCCACCTCTTGTTTACTACCTAATCACTGAACACTCATCAAAAATCACTCCATCTACCTAAGAATAACCTGCTTTATACCACCAATTTTAATTACTCTATTGGTTATTTACATATTAATTTCTAAAACTCATCATCTTTATGACTTAGTTAAAATGTCTATGATTATTGTTTACCAACCCCCACCTCCATCATTTGATTGGTATTTTGATTGCATTGGAAATCCCTATATTTATTGGTGTGAAAATCAGATAGCCAGAAAGAATAAGCAACAAAGAACTCTGGCCTGACAACCAACCAACCAAGAACCTATCGCCCAACAAATATGTAGAAGAAAGTCGATATGGACTGGATTAGACATACACTGAGAAGACCGTTTAGGGATATCATGCATGAGACCAGGCAGTCGAGTGGAAACCAAATGGGAAACGATGAGTTATGAGTGCGAGGGTAACATGGAGGAGATCGTGTGAGAAAGGAGTGAAAGTTTATGTACAGTGGCGCAACCAGGTTGAAAGAAAAGACTGCAGAGATGAAAGTGAAATGGCGACGTGCTACCGAGGTCCCATGTTTCACTAGGAACTCAAGGGACAAATAATATCTATTAGTGTAGAGCTGAAGACGAAAATATTATTGAAAAGAAATATATTTCTTCTTAAAAATGTCTAAATAGGAATATTTAATGCACTAAAGTTAACGATATAAGCAGCATGATAATGCAATTCAACGTGACCTATGTTCATATGCTAGTGACTATGAGCTATCCTTATTGTGCAACAGCTCACTAAACTATCCAGCCTCTCAGGCACAGTGGAATTACAACCTATAAACAGTGAAATAAAACCAGCAAAATTGTACGAAGTAGTCATAATGTTGTCGACTGATACTTCCAATTTTCCGTTGCTACACTGCAAATTCTGTTGTTAAATGAAGTGCTATGCGGACGTCGCGATGCCGCTTGAATAGCCATTATAGTGTAGTAGTGGCTGGCAGTGGAATCCATGATGGGCATTTCGTCTTATTTGGCAGCCCTCAGGAGAAGGTACCTGTAATTCAATGCAGTTTGTCCCCACTGGGACTCGAACCAAGCAACTACTGAGCCGCCGCACAGTAATAACCATCTAGGTAGTATCAAGGCATCTGCATCCCGTCTGTTAACAGAGGTCGAGTAATTCGACCTAGTATGGCAATGGGACATTACAGGTATCAATAAACAGGTGATATCTGTTGCAAACGAAGTGGTTCATACCCCATTGGCCTAGTGAATAACTCTTTGGCGTTTGAATCGACGGGTACTGAGCTTGAGTCTCAGCAAGATGCAAGTACATCCAGCTGACGAGTTCCAAATAGGAGGAAATGCATGACTTGGTTTCCTCTGCTAGTCACCAAACAGGATTCTTAACTACCTATCTGGAATGGATGGCATACCAGTTACCAAAGACATATGCGACTAAGCAAGAGACAAAACTTAATTCAGTCTCTTTTAAGCAAAACCAAACGTATCTGCACAAATGACAGGATAAACAAGGAACTAGAAAAACGGACTGACAGTAGTTTGGGGTGCCTGTCGAAGACAAGCGAAGCCAGCAACCATGAATTGTTAAGCAGCAGGAGACTTAATCGCTTACAAATTATAAGAAATGTACAAAATTTTAAAAGAGCAGATAGCTAGAATGGAGATAGGCACAGACGTCTACTGTTCCGTGTGGTATTTGAATTCTAACATATCTTAATTACTGGGTAATGATTAAAGGTGAAATGATTATTTGGATCACAGTCGGACTCGAACATCCAACCACCGGGTTTCCCGCTCGATGTTCTACCAAAATGTACTACGAAATCAGATTGCTGAACCATGGTGATTGCAGTGAAATAAAAATCTGGTCAACAAACGGACCCTGTAGCTCAGATGATAGAGCATCAGGCTGGAAACCCGCTGGTCGATGGTTCAAATCCGGCTGCAGTCCAAATTTTCGTTTCGCCTTCAATCATCACCCCGGTATAAATACTAGTCTGCCAAATCATGGCTATCTCGGATAGTCAAATGATAACCTTATGAATTCAGGTGAGTAATTATTGACTTCAAGTGAATGTAGAGAAGACAGAGGTGATGAAGATACCCAACCAACACCACCACCACCACCACTAACAACAACAACAAGCTCCAATCATCATCAACGGGAGATATCTAAAGGAAGTAGCCTCTTTCACCTATCTAGGCAAGGCAGCAGCATCGTTTTAACTACAGGCGGCACAGATGAGGACGGAAAAGCAGCCAGGATTGGCAAGATAGCAAGACAAGCGTTCACTAGCCTGGAACCAGTGTGGAGATCTTCTACACTCAGCAAAAAGCGTCAACAACATCCGGATTTTCAACACTAATGTCAAGTCAGTGCTTCTATATGGTTGAGAGATTTGGCACGTTACGAAAGGCATTTCCAACAAACTATAGATATTCATCAACAACTGTCTACGCTCGTTACTGAAGCTGAGTTGACCAGAAATAAAAGCAACAAGGAACTCTGGGAACGAACCAACCAAGAACCTATCACTCAACAAACATGCAGAAGGAAGTGGAGTTGGATTGGGGATGCAGTGAGAAGACCATTCGGGACATCATGCGTCAGGCCAGTCCCTTGAGTGGAATCCAGATGAGAAACGTCGAGTTTGGCGTCCGTGGAGAGGGTGACATGGAGGAAATCGTGTGAGGAAGAAACGAGAGCTTGTGCGCAGTCGTTGAACCAGGTTCAAAAGATTTCAGAGAATAGAATGCACTGGAAACGTGCTACTGAAGCCATATATTCCATTAGGAACCCAAGGGACAAATAATAATATAATTATTGACACGCAGACTATTCTTCATGTGTCTAGTTCCTTGTTATAGATTTTCTGGTGTACTCTAACTGATACATGCTAGCTGGATAGGGGCAATCAGCAGGAAACCCTTGACCTAGTTTTCGTGCTTCTTGATAGTCGTGAGCAAGGCGTACTCCAGACCTCAACAGAAATGATATTCTGCCTGGGATTAAAACCCGCGCTACCTAGTGTAATAATCAACCGGCGACGTTATCACTTAGCTATTCAGGTCGAGGTTGACCATCTACAGGACTGGATTAGGTACATGCTGACAAGTGCCAACAACCACAAAACGTAAGTCCACGGCCTGCTGCCGACTGCCTCCATCCAACAAACATTTGTCAAAGTGTATCTGATGCTGAGTTGCCTAGTCTGATAGCCACACTGCAAAATGCTCAATCAGTACTGATGAGGACTAGACAACATTAAGTTGGTTACCCTGCAATGACTAATCAATGTACCTACTCTAACTCAGATAAGCTGAGATGATTAGAAGTCTAAGTAGCGATTCAACTAGCCAGGTTTGCTGTAGACGACATTTGTGTCTAAACACTCCATCTGGTTTTCGTATTGATGGTATTAGTAAAAATACTCTTATGCCTAGAAATAATTTATCCATTTGCAAATTATCTCCTGTTCCGTGGGCTATTTCACTATTGTATGTTAGTTTTGTCCAATTTCTCACCAATTCAACGTTTTCACTTTCCACATTTTACAAGTCGGTATTCATCACATGGACTGACATAAGTTGGAGGAACATTGGAGACTTGAGAGCACTGAACAACGTCTGTTTCGTCATAATATGGGACTCTTCAGCAGTACGCACCTACGACCTTCAAGTCCCGCGACCACCACTTCACCATTCCAGTCACTGGGTCGAAATCTAATGGTCTATATTTCTGACTACTGTTAGTTCATCATATAGCCCAACCATCACTCAATGTTATCGTTGAGTATTTGTCTTCATAGCCAACAGGTTTGCCCCAACAGTCATGACTTCTCATTGTAACTTCTTGAATCATCCCTCTCGAAGTTAGTCACCAATGAGCACTACAAATGATGTCACTCTATGATGAACACCAACTTGTAAAATTCACTAAATCCCCACAAACCCCCAAAATTCAACTTTCCACATTCCTATATGACATACTACTTATATGCATCCTTATAAGTAGTTTTACTAAGAAAGTATCCTGAAAAAACCCATTTATTCCTCTTCAAGCAAGCTTAGTTTGTGATTATCTTAACATTACACTGAAAATGCAACAAACTGATTTGTATGTTAATCATTTATTAAACCAGTTATAATGTAACTTTCAGGTTTCTGGGGATTTACTTTATTCATCTAAAGTTAGTGTTCGAAATAGTAGAGAATATTTATAGCTCAGGTGGATGGTCTTGGTTGTATTGTGTTCTCTGAGCTGGGTTGTTTAGTCGTGGAGCTTTCATCATCTTGCTAGACGACCAAAATCACACAAACCAGACATCGTACTACGACCAATAGTCTCACTTCCGCGAACTCCAACATACAACACATCAAGAGAACTTTCAAGAAGACTGAAACACCTCGTTCAATCATGCAGACATGTTACAGCACTGTACACTTCCATCGAACCCCAACTGGCTGAAGAAACTATGTCCCTTCTGTTCACTGTAGACACAAACCTTTCAGAACGCATAAAACTAAAATTTTCAAGTCTGATGGAACTCGTCGACTTCATCTGACAACATATTTCCAATTCAACAGCAAGGTATACAAACAGATGAAAGGAACTCTAACGGGATCACCGATATCCGGACTAATTGCAGAAGGAGTGATACAGAGACTGGAAGCCACCATTCTACCTGTGTTAGAACAAAAAATTTGGATTCGCTATGTGGACGATTTGATCCACAACGTTTTCAATGACATCAAATTCACAATGGAGAGAAGGAGTCAAACAAGCAACCATCATTCCTGGATTTTTTAGTCAGTAGGACAAATGCCGGGAAGCTAGAAATCCAAATGTACAGGAAGCCAACACACCGGTCAAATCCTCAACTACAGTAGTAACAACCCAACAACACACAAGATGAGTTGCATGCAGACTATTCAGAAGAGCGAGAACACACTGAAGCACAACAACTTCATGAAGAAACGAAGAAAATTACTTGATGTCCATCCTAAAGAAGAACGACTACCCACGAAACTTTATCAGAAGATACCTATCCCGTACATCACCAGCTACAAAGTCATCCACAGAAATCAACAAACCCATCATCCTATTGTGTATAAAGAATATATCAGAAATCACAACAAGATTGCTGAGACCACTTGGAGTTGGTATAGCTGGCTCATAAACCAACAAATTCCCTCCATACACTATTATGCAGACCAAAGAATGCAACAATCAAAGAAGACAAATCGAATATCATTTGTAAAGCCAACTGGAATAACTGTAGTCAACACTACATTCGACAAAGTGGTCACTCCCTCCACCTTCGTCTACATGAACACCAACTGGCTATTAAACGTCACACATGACATTCCATTACTCATTTCAATGCACATGGATAACAACTCTGGAGATGAATTCAATTTCGACAATGTACAAATTTTGGACGGAGAGAGGAAACGCAAAGAATATTAGAGAATTCCTAGAAGCTTGGAATTCAGGTCACTCAATCAGTAGTCAACAATCAATAGACGTACAGACATAGACCCAATCTACCAACCAATAAGAAAAATGATAAACCACAGAAAGGTGAGAGATCAAGCAAAGGAACAACCAGGCAACAAGAAAACCTATACAGTTAGTCAGTGACACAACAACCAATCACAAATCAGTTGGTCAGGACAAGCTACTAAATCATTCACGGAGAAACATTGACAGGTTACTTCATACTAAAGTTAGTGCTGATAATGTCGTATAGAAAGACGATGAAAGCTCCGCGGCTAAACAACCGAGCTCAGAGAAGACAAAACATCCAAAATCTAGTGTTCATCATGCATTGGCTGACACCATTTAAAAACAAGGAGCACTGAACAACTCCAACTGATGTCAGTCCATGATAAATAACTAACCTGAGATCAATAAAATAACCCCCACCCCCCACATCTCCAAATGGCTCATTGATGACTAGCTCCGACTAACAATTCCTAAAGTTTTAATGATAGGAACAGCATTAAATTAGTAAAAGGAGGAATATTCGATTATTAGATTCCGACCAAGTGACTCGAGGGGGGCTAAGAGTCGTGGGTTCAACCCCTGAAGAGTCGAACACTAGGACGAAACGGATATCCAGCTCTGTCAGGTTTTCGATAGTTTTCTAGTATATGATCAATAAAATACGTGTTTGAATGAGAAAAGAAAACTTACTTGTATTGTAGATATGATAAATAGAATCGATAAGATCACTAATCTCACATCAACTTTAGTAGAATACTGACGTCTATAGTATTGATAATAATGAAAATACATTTGATCAGGATTATCAAGCATATAATCATATTCACGTCTTTGTTCTGGATCACTGAGAATCTAGCAATGTAAACAACAAGGAGAAAAGTAACCACACACGCACATATAAAGAAAGAAAGATTAGAGATAACACTAAGAAACCTATTCATACCATAACTGATCATTTTCCAAGGACTGAGTTATACATGTGGTACAGTGGCACCAATGGGTAATGCATGAAAAAGTGTCTATTCCTTTGATTTCAACACTGATTGAAGTTGGCAATCAGTCGGTTAGACAGATGTATGGTTGTCGACCGACCGACCGACCGAATTCTTGTGGTGTTGGTTGAGTGGACTATCACCACGACGGTCAAACTTACACTTTTCTGCTCACATAAACACACACACATATATACACCACAGACTAGACTAAAATATATTAACAGCTGTTTTTTACAACATTCTTGAATATCTGAAGTAAGAAATTGTCTACACTATGATTTCAACCATATAACTGAAGAGTATTGCAGTTCTGGCGCGATCTATACATATCTGTCGGTGAGCAACTCTCAGGAACCTGAACAAGAATTCACTTACTAACAACATCTATATTCATGTAGTTGACAATAGGCAATGGCTAATAACATTAACTGATTGCTCAAACTCCCCTAGGTAGGGTAGGGTTCGAACCGATGACCCACTGGTCGGAAGTTGAATGGCCTAACCAATGGAGTCATAGCTCTTAGGAATCTAAACTTGGCTGAAACAAGTTCCCTTCGCTTCAGTCGATCAAATTAGTTATATATTCATATTCTATTAGAAAGTTAGAAAACAAACCTCATAGGCAGTGTTGATTAATCGAAAACGTTCTTCAGCCTTCAATTTATCTTCTCTTGTTTTCTGTCTATCTGGATGATATTTCCTTGCCATCTCATGATAAGCTTTACGAATTCGACTTTTATCATCATCTCGGGTAACTTGTAAGACTATAATTAAAAAAAGGAGAATAGGAAAGCCTACAATAAATGATACAAGCATTATTATTATTAGAAGTAAATAAATAAATTAACAACTTACAACAACCCCTCCCTCACCTGACTGAGAAATGGTATTTTAACTCAGTTACCTAGCAGTTACCGAAGAGGTAATAGCCAACGTAACTGATGATTGTGTTAGCTATTGCATTAAAGAATCGTGTGTCCATGAGGGTTGACAGATGCAGCATCCTTGATTGAATCAAGTGTGAAGCAACCGAGTGAATAGTGACGATAATAATAATAATAACGCGAACGTTAATCAAGTGGTGAAACACATGGACTGAATGGGGATGAGTTTTCTGCTCTAGTGCTTAATGTTATATTTACACCTGCAAGACTGCGAGAGCTAGTTATCGAATCTTCAAAAACTTGAAGGATGAATTGTGCGTATTCACCAGATTGGCTGGGAGAGGTTACGTGAATAACCGCACTTAAATCCTGTATGCGTGTTTCATATATACAGCACATATCCATGGCCCAAATTGCTAGAGTCTTGGTCAATGAAGCCTGTTGACCAATTTGACAGAGGGTGCGAACATTGAAGTCTCCAGTGTGTAATTTGCAGCGTGCTTTAGGGAGACCAAGGGTGTTGTTCTGTGGATTCAGACTGTTCTCGAAGACTGCAGAGCTGGAAGAAATTAAAGATGATGTAGTGTCGTTAATTGAGACACGTAAAGGAAGATTAGAAGGTAATAATGAGGGAGGTAGATAGCACCGTGGAAGGCTATTTCTTCTTAGGGTACCTGAAAGACATTAGTGTGGCCGTAAAGCCCATCGGACATCTGCTTGAAGCCTGTCACATGCAGTCTTTTGTGTATGGTTGTTTTGAAATTTTGTTGTTTTAACAGTGGATGTTCGAAAAGAAACGACAAATGAACCAACACCACCGGCCCGGCAAACCGACGGACATAGTGGAGTGTGTTACTTTGGGGCCGACCTTTTCTAACCCCCCGCTTCTACTGAAAAGGCAGAATCAGCATGGCACTGCTGGTTATCACGACCCATCCGGCCAGCAGCAGTACGACTTCTTCCTCAGACCCCCATTATAGTGTAATAATTTACACCACAACGGTAACTGCTTTTCGTCTTATTACTATCTAACAGACCTGTCTGGTATGGGAACAAGTGTTCCACCAGCATACCTCGTTGAGTCATTGTGATATGCAAGCCTGGCCACCACGTTAAGGTAGCAGCGATCGGTTGGGGCACGGACTGAATCCGAATAGTGCCTATTCTCCCTCAGAACAGCGACAATCAGAAGACAAACACCAGCCGATAACTGTTAGGAAGACACATTATTCGACGACAATGCATCATTTACATGCGGCACATTTGATGAACATACAAAACCACTACGTCAAAAGTTGGATATTTATTCTGATTGGTGAATTGTAGAAAAAAAATTAGCTAATCAGATTTTTCTTGACCACACAGTAACATGAAACAGGCTGAAATCCGGAATTAATGACTTAAAATGTCGATTTTCATTTAAGGCACTTCTTATCAAGTCGATACACATCTACGTATTCATGAATGATAAAAAAGAACCCAAGGAGTTTACGATCACATTTTAGTCGTGTTATAGTAGCAGGCAAGACTTCATACTATGCGAAGTATTGGAAACTTTTATAGAAAACCTGATGGGAACAGGCTAAAATGACAAATCAATATTTTCAGTCATTCACCAATAAGGTAGAAGTTGTTGAAATTTAAATTTTCCACTAAGGTGCTGTATGGTCAGGATAAAGCTTATTGGATAATTTCATAGCTAAATCAACCAATCAAGACGAGGCATTTTATCTTTGACCTAGTCTATTTTTATGTTGATAAAAACTCCATGTACATGATGTACTGTTGTCGCATAAGATTATCGTTGCAGTCATTAACCCTAGATTTTGATTTTGCCAACGATGATGATTTATGTTCAATATCTTGTCGCACAAACTCGACCATCTACACGCAAAAACTAACAAGTTCGCAGAAGAGGCGACGCGACACGACGCCAGGCAACGCAAGGCAGCGAAAACCAAAATTCCTTCAGCTGAACGTACAGAACACATAGGTGATGAAGATACCTAACCAAAAAACATCAACAACAACAAACAACCAACAATCACAAAACCAAGAACAGGAGAAACCTAAACAAAGTTGTCTCTTTCAACTTCATACCTACCTACCTACCCTACCTACCTAGGCAGCATCCTCTCAACTATACCTTACACACATCACAATTTCATTGCCACGATCGCGAAGACATCAAGACACGCATTCATTAATCTGAAATCAGTGTAGAGATCTACTCCACTCCACTCCACTCCACTCCACTCAGCATGGAGCGTGAATAACATCCGGATTCTCAACACTAATGTCAGTCAAGTCACTGCTTCTATATGATGGTTGAGAGACTTGGTGTCTTACGAAAAGCATTTCCATCAAACTGCATACATACATCACATCAACAGATGCTGCCTACGCTCATTCGATACTGATGATCAGCAATAATAAGCAACAAGGAACTCTGGCCTGACAACCGACCAACCAATAACCTATCGCCCAACAAATATGTAGGAGAAAGTCGATATGGTTTGGAGTGGACATACATTGAGAAGACCGTTTGGGGGTATCACGAATCAGGTCAGGCCGTCGAGTGGAAGCCAAATGGGAAACGACGAGTTGTAAGTGCGAGGGTGACATAAAAGAGATGATATGTGAGGAAGAAATGAAAGCTTTTGTGCTGTGGTGGAGCCAGGTTTAGGAGACTGCAGAGAACAGAGTGAAATGGCGACTAAGAACCCAATGAACAAATAATGATCAATAATAATGTAGTCATTAACTAATCTTTGCTTTCTGATGTGTTCTTTGGCTCAGTTAACAGTCGTTAGCATATTCAGTACCAATATCCTTTCGAGTTCATTGTCGTTAGTACCCCAGCGTCTTATTACAATCGGTCACCTTAAAGCTCAACAACTTTATATATTTAAGCGTAAATGAATACCTTTACAACACTCTAGACTCATTCACGTACCATCTCTGTTCCACTACCACTAGGCAACTAACTCCATAATAAAACCTACTCATTTTTTTTAATTTTCTCGCCTATCGTTTATCTTAAACATTCACAACGTTTTCAATATCTTACAGCATCCTTCAAAAAAAAAAAGTCCATCTGGAATTCAACCCATGGTAACAATCAGGAATATGCAAATTTAGATAGAGAAAGTAAAGCCATCCAAACTGCTACTGGTTGCCATTATAAATAGTATTGTTTTACTCTAGTTGAAAAGAAACCAGAATAAATATCAAAGACGGTTGAATTTCAACCAAAAACAAAGATTAAAAAGAAAATGAGTAGCTTTTATATGACGCCAACAAAGTGTGAATACAGATGTAGGTCAGTCTATTTTCATATTGAATCCCTTGAATACAGTTATCGCTTCCGTTTGGATTATCTTCATTACGCCAACCTCTGAATCTTATCAACGGAGAAAGACAAAAATCAAAGTGGAATCTTACACAAATATTCATCAGTTCACGTCACCACTAGTCACAGCAATATACAAAGAAAAAGTGGATAGAAAAAATACTGATATTACAGTAGATAAAGGTGTATGGAAGGAGAGGGAATTTAAAAATGAAGGTTAGACAAAACATTTAAGCTTGTAAAGTGATCAGACAGTGAATATATCTGCATCATTGTGATCAATATTCAGCCGTTTCAACAAGAACCCTCAACCACTGATTCCTATCGTCTCAGAGACCCTGGACAAGTAGTCTACACCACAAAATGGTTCAGATGAAACTGTCAGACACTTCATCAACTGGTGCCACGTCGTAGTCTCACCATATTGACAATTCATCCTAACTAATCCAACTTCTCCTAGCATTCAATGTCGAGGTAGACGTTGATTAAGCATACGCAACACATGTTGGAGTCACCTCAGTCGCTAAACATTCACAACCTCATCGACTAACTTCTCTCCCTTCCCTATGCCTATGATATACTGGAGAATCATCTGGTGCTACAGTCTGGCGTTGATACATCAAGCTGGTTATCGTGATAGTCCAACTGTTTGTTGGTTCACGTCATCACTATTCACAGCAGCATAGACTGAACAAGTGTCTAGAAAACAACTGATATTGAAATAAGTAAAGGTGTATGGGAGGAGAGGGAACTTAAAACCTAAGGTCAGTCAGAACACTTAAGCTTGTAAAGTGATCAGAGAGTGAAAACATTTACATCATTGTGATCGATTTCCAGGTATTACACCAACAGTTGGGATAATAATTTTAGCTTTTGTCAACGTTTGCAGCTATCCTATAATGTTAAACTTATTCTATGCATTTCCTTATACACTGTCAGTTCTCCAGAGAACAAAAGCGGCTTCCATAAGATCATAATGTAGTGGACGTTACTGATCAGATTCGAGCCCAACGCCAACTAGCAAAGTGTGAACAACCGCACATTAATAGTAGTCACACATATCGTACAACGTGTATAGCACTTAAAAGTGTGTAGTACATGTTTGGTGATTTGCATCTACTCAAACGTCGAAAACAACCAGTGAGAACATTTACTTTCAAATTATTGCATAGTATTTCTCTTCAGATCATTATTCCCTTTATTTTTACTCAGAATAATAAACCAGTTAACTCATATGAAGAAGTATTGACCATGTAGAACTGGATAACTGAAATTCTGTTCACTGGTCACACTAACATTAAGTAAAGAGACAACAATCAGCATTTACATAATGTGACATTACTCAAACATGGTAGAATCAATACATGAGCAAGATTGAGTTTTAGTGCAGAGTACTAGGCGAGGAACGTAATTCAGTCGGTGAAGTTGTGAAGCTTTAGTGATTAAGATGACTTCCAAAATGTGTTTCACATGCCTAGCCATCATCTACCTAAACGTTCAACACTAGGAGAAGTTGGATTCAGAGTGA